AAGTACAGTGACTGGTGGAGGGAGCTGCTGTGCGTCAGGTGAGTGGCTCAAGACTGCCAACCGCTGAATATTGGAATGAATCATCCTGTAACTGCTTGGGCACGATACAACTTATGCTCCTCTGCTCCAGAGCAAGAGCGCAGACAGGATTTTCTTAGGGAGAGGGGGGAAGACGTCGACAAGAACGCATGGCGTCGATCTTTAAATTTTTGTCAGGAGCAGCCTATGGTGAATATTAAAAGGCAGGTTTTAGGTCGGAGGCGGACTCCCGTTGGCCACGTTCCTGATGTTGAGGGCGTACAGAGAAGAGAGAAGGAGGGGTTGGATCAGTTTCTACTTGGGTCCCTTCTACCACCCTTTATACCATAACTATTGAGACTCAGGTGCACAAGATGCACTAAGGTGCGTGTGTCTGAGGGCAGCTTTAACTTTCGGTTGGATATGCAGCTGTAAAAGTTTGGAGAGCAGATCACCATTATTTGTAAATGACCTTGGCATAACCCCTATCAAATTATGCAGCTTGCCCCACGCTGGAAGTAAATTGCATCACATGGCGGGAAATTGCGTTTATTTTTGCATGGGGCAGGGTGCATCGTAAGCAAGCTACATGTGTTCCAATATGTAAACAACAGATGCTCTAACTAGCTCACTAACTACTGCTACCTCGGTTTCGCTTGCTCAGGTAGCAACAAGGTAGGGTGATATATGCGGAGCAGAACGATGTCCAGCACAAAAACGCTGTTACATTAGACTGGAAGTGCAGTTGATCTGCAGCGTAGGCTATGGATCCGGCACGTTACTGATTGAGCTACTGAGACCACGGGATTTACGACAAAGTCGGAAAATTCACGGTGCACTGTGCACGAAAACTTTGGCCCGGTATGCCGCGGAGTTTGGTTTCTCTGGACACAAACTAGTCAATGGATAGGCTGAAGGCAATTCAGAAATATTCTGCTTGGTGCCGGGCTCATCGAAATTGGTCTAAAAAATGATTCACAGCTCCGTGAAAAGCAGGCCTTTTACACGTAAGCCCTACGGCCTAGCAGGAAAACTACGCCGTGCAGCGGCTATGCTACCAACGTACTTCAGTGGGGGATGGGCATTAGGGATCTTTATAGGTACGGTAAATACCGACTTATTGTCTGGACGGCAGAAGGCCATTACAATTATGTCAATCACTCATTGGCAGTAGGTCAATAAATGGCATCATCGTCGGTGCACTATGTCACTGATACATTTTGTCTCAAGCATAACTGATACAACGTGTAACGCCCGCCATCTTGAAAGAGGGTTCGCGCGCCGAAATTATTGGCAAGCAGACGCTAACTGTTCTACGGCACACGTACCACATGTACTTCGCACCACTTAGCCAGAGCATTCATATTAGCCGGTTATGCCATAAGATCTTAAACACACACGCATTTCCGCAGAGCTCTAGGGTTTGCAAAGACATGAAGAGAAAATATTTGTCGCCCTCACCATAAGACGCGTGACAAATGCAGCCGGAACTACACTGGCGAACATGGCGCTGCTGTGTGACAGCCGAGTGACATTCAAGATCGGCCTTTGTCGCTAGAGTAAACAGCGATGATGCCACATGGACATGACGCAACCCGCCCACTTTCCCCTGAACGCCCCCTCCCCCTCCCCCCCCCCCATCACATGTGTCAGACAATAAAACGGACAGCGCAAGTCGCGTCAGATATGTATCTGCGTCTTTGTCGCGGAAAAGCCTCGATACCACGCAGTAATCCGCCTTATGGCTCTGCCATTTGATGTGTTTTGCATCATCGCATATAAGCGTTGGTAAAGTTTGTGCGCAGAAGCTTCTGAAGGGCCGGGCCGCTGCGCTGTTTCTCTTGAGAAATACTCACGCAATTCGACACGTACCTGGCCATAGACATCGGGGTGGAGACGGACTGTAGTTGCAGTCTTGTATGCTTTATGTTGATGGTGAACTAAAGCTCCAGAATTCCGCGATACATAATTCCGTTGGAAGGTACTGTCTCGTTCTCCTAACAAAATAACCGCGAATGAGGTACTTCTTGGGAGTAGTGTAAACATGTAAGTTACTAAGTGCGTGTGTGAGGAGCATTACTCACATAGACAGGACAGTAGTAATAGCTTATCTATCTGTTTTTCGTTAAAGGCATGTATCCGAAATATCAACGCATCCACATCTCCATTCACCTGGTTTTCTCCGGGGAATAAGGCCGTTGCTACTGTCTAACCTATGGGTGTAAATACGGCTGAAGGTCACCCATGAATTGCCATTAAAGACCATGCAAAATGCAAACGTGTGGATAACAGGTGGGTTTAACTAAAAAGGATGGAAACGGTGAATATGGCGCAGCCCCGGTTGGTGGGTGGTTTGAGTAAAGAAATTCTCACTCGTGAATGCCTCTAGAACACATGTTAATGGCGCATCGTTATGAACATGTTTATACCACATGCATATGCACTAAACAGCTCCATCAGTCTCCGGCACTCGGCCATCCAGACAGCTGCTATGGCCGCATTCAATCGCACTGAACACGGCACGACATGGACTACGCCTGGTTCGGCGCGCCTTACGTCAATAGAGTCGGCGGGCCGTGTCGCCGGGTATTGGTCTGGCCTCGAGGGAGCGGTCGGCGACGACGGCGGCGGCGGAGCCGACGGGCACCAGTCGCGCCCTGAGGGCACGGCTGGATCGGCGTGGCATGGAGCGCGGGCCGGGCCGCCCGCGACCGCCGCCGCCGCCGCTGTCGGTGCTGCTGCTGCTGCTGCTGCTGCTGCTGTCGGGGCCAGGCGCGGCAGCCGACCCCGTCAACCCAGGTGAGCCGTCGGTCTCCGGTGGTACGGTCGGCCACCTGACTTGAAGCCGCCGGTCGGTTCGGTCCGCCGCGACAGGCAGCAAACACTGCGCTGTCCCAGAGGAGGACGCTCGCGGCGTTGGATTGGGCGTGGATAATCCATGGCACACATGACGTCCGCAGTCAACACCCGCCGTCGCTGCAGGCCTGCAGGTCTTGAGTTTCTGCCCACCTGACTGCCGGTTGTCGTCAGGTCTTGCATGTCCGGCCTTCCGCAGAGCCAACAGGGTAAGCTGGTGGCATCCAGCAGAAGTGAGTTATAGTGATTCGGTTACCTGACGTAAAGCATATTACGATCCATCCGACACATCGAGATGGATTTTGTATTGTTATTCAAAATCAGTTTTATAAGGCAAACACTTAGTGAGGAACGGCCTCCATGATGATGATCATCATCCGTATTACAAGTTGTTACGACATTAATGCTACGGCAAAATTGATACCGACAGGAGTCTTACAACATCAGTTATAAGCGGCATTACTTATGCTGCAAAAGCTTATGCAGACTTAACTTATACGCGATATTACTCATACTGCAAAGGTTTGCACATGACATGAGTGCTACATTACAACATGTATACCTCAAAAACGTATAAGTTTCATGACATCCGCTGCAAAGACATATACGGTCCTTACTTATACGTGACATTACTTCTATCGCCAAAACTCATGCACGATTTTTGTGCAACACGAAAAAAACTTATTTTGGGAGGCTATTTCTTGCACCCGTCATTTCTCATACAGGAAGCATTATGTAGCTTTTACTTACATGCGAAATCACTTCTGCAGCAAAAACGCATATTTGACATGATTTCCGCACGCCAAAACTTATGCTGCAAAAACAAGTACTAGCCGTGACCTCTACAGCAAGGACTTCGACAGTCCCTTCTTATATGCGACGTTACTT